GCTCGTGCTGTGTATCTGGGGCGAGATTTCACTGTGGCCAAGATGCTCCTGTAGGCGTGGCTGTGCCTTTCTGCTGCTGGGGCTGGTGCTGGAGCTAATGCCATTGGTCCAGAGCTGGTTGCGGCGGCAGTAGATGCTGCTGCCATAGGACAACGCTGCTGAGCTGCTTGAAATGATTGATGTGCCATTCGTTGCTGTTGAGCCATAAGCCGGGCGGCGTCATGAGCCGTGTCGGCTTCTGCTGCAAGTCGCATGGCTTCATGAGTTTGGTGGGCTTCTTGGGTTTCAAGCCAATCTCGTTCTCGCTGTGCTTGATGGGCTTGCCTCGGTGCTTGCTCTTGAGAGAGGGCAGTAAGTGCTGCATCCAATGATTCAAGAGCGGTTCGTTGCCAGGCTTCTTGCGTAGCAGCTGAGTGGAATTCCCGAGGGGCTCCAGAGGCTTCGCGTCCAAGAAGTCCTTTAGATCGTCCGCTATGCCCCTTGGGCGGCTGGCGTGATCCTTCGGAAGAAGAAGAATGGTGGCGTCTATCCCTATCGCTTCGGCGGTGTCGATCACGGTCACGGTCTCTATCTCTCTCACTGCGTCTTTCAGGGTGTCTGCGTCGATCGCGTCGGTGTCCACTGGCTTGGCTTCTGCTTTTAGAACCGTTTCGGGAAGATGCTGAAGCAGAATGTGAAACCATTCGGAAGGATTAAGTTGAGCTAGACCACGTACCGTCTGTCCGATGCCACGCGAGAGAAGAGCCAATCCAAATACACGCGCTTGAATTAGTTGAATTAGTACTTGCGCGAAGGTGAGCTTCGTTCAGTTGATATGGAGTGGCTCCGCCAGCTGGGCAGCCGTGGCGGGCCTGTGCGTTATGGAAGGAACAGCGCAGAACGGCCAGCTGCCTTAGGAAACGTTTTACTTGGGCCAAAATTGCTTGAGCCAACATGGCTACGGAGAGGAGGAGGGAGGAGAAGGAGGAGGAGGAGGAGGAGGAACCCCAGAACCAGTTTCCCCCAACAAAAATTGCTTCGATATCTAAGGTTGTTATATTTGTAAAACGCATGTGTTCATTCGTTTTCAACCGCGCATGTGTAGGAACGAGTCTATGGCGACTCATTGGCATTGTTCTTAAATGTATATATGTATATGCATATACACATACATTGTGTCCGATGACCACGAGTGCAGTGCACGAGCAAGCACATGGTGCCCGTCCGGGGGCACTGAACATGATATTCGCTGGCCCTCATGGGGGCTATGAGCGCACCCATCGGATACAGGCACGGGCTGTATATATATATAATACATATACAAATACATTCACATATACATATACATATACATATATATATATACATATACATATACATATACATATACATATACATATACATATACATAGGTGTAAAACAACGGGGATGAAACAAGTTCGGGTCGGAGGGGGAGGAGGAGGAAGATGAGAAGGAGGAGAAATTCCATTGGCGATCCATCGGGTTCCTTCGGAAATCCATAGGATGCTCTAGGACATCCATGAAATTCCTGAGGAAATTGATCGGAATCCTTAGGAGTCCTTGCTACTCAACATACGAAGAGAGCAACTTCGATTCGCAACTTTCCCCCGCGATAGAAAGGTTCGGCCTTGCCGCCTCACTTCCCATACCAAAAATGCATGGGCCGTGGATAATCAACACTCAGTAATTGCTAAAGGGGGAGGCCTAATTGATAATCACGGCAGGTGGGGGTTATTCAAGAATGGTCAAACAATAGTCTGGGGAAGATTTGTTGTTACAATATCGGAACATATTTGAATATTTGTTGCATGTTTCCCGTTGGCCTTGGGAAACCCGCATGTAGGAGGACGTGCCCGACCTAATGTTAGATCGGCGGTGGAGCCGCCCAGCGGCGCCCCTGCCGCGCAAGGGAGGGGCTCCCACCGACGATCCAAGAAATCCGCGCGAATCGCCGACAACGTGCGTGCTTCTGCTGATTTTCTTCTCCGACGAACGGGGACCGACGCCAGTAGAGTTGTGCCTAAGGTACCTGTCCTGGAGCGCGATACAACACGCGAAAAGGATCTCGGCGCAAGTGCGGCCCTGTCGAAAAAGCCCCCCAAGCTGGCGCAATCCCCCGTGAGCGATTGCTCTTCGGGCCTGGGCACAGCAACGGCTGCTCCCGGGTGGGGGGGGGGGTCGCGCCGGCTCCCAGCCAAGCTTCGCGAAGACGGACCCCCCCCCATCCAGATGCCCTCCAACAATTCGGCGGCGAGCCCCGGGGGTGTGAGAAGGGGCGGGTTTGCTCAGAAGCCTCGGAAGTCCCCCGACCTTCTGAAAAGTTGTCTAAACCTTCCCCGAGGACACAGAAAATGTTTCAGAATTCGCGAGGGCTTCTGAGAAGTCCCGCCAGCTTCTGAGAAGGCCTCTCCTTCTCGTTCCCCCCCTTCGCTCGCCGCCGGAACAAGCCGTCCCCCCCTTCTCCCCTCGCCTCCCGTCGTCCCCCTTCCCCCCACTCCCTGCCGAGGCTCTGGGCGCCCGTGCACGCGCCACTCGCCATCGCTCAGACGTCCAGTCCCCGTGCATACTGCGACGTCGTGCGCGTGCTTTGCTTGATTCTGTGCAAGATGATCCAATCTGCTCCTCGATGGCCCTCGCCGAGCAATAAGGCGCACGTCCAAACGGTGCCGAGGCCGGGCGCGAGCGGGCGCCGGCACGCCGCGCGCGCGCAGCGAAGGCGCGCGCGCGCCAGGAGAGCGGCTGCCGCCGGCCCGCGGCGGCACGCGCGGGCGGTGGGAGGGCGCCTGGCGGCCGCCCCGAAGAGTGCCCTGCCCTCGTCCTCCTCGCCCCGTCTCGCGCTGGTGCATCCGCCGCCCCCTCGTCCCTCCTCGCCCTCCCTCCCCCTCTCTCTCGCCCTGCCTCCTCGCCCTCCCTCCTGGGCCGCCCTCGTCCCTCCTCGCCCGCACTCCCTCCTTCCCTCCTCCCGCTCTTCCTCCCTGCACCCTCCTCCCCCCTCCCTCCTCCTCTTGACTTGGCGAGCTGACATGCTCATTATTAGTATCCTCCCTCCTCCTTCTCCTCCTACTCCTCCTCGTCCTGCACCCCCTTCCTTGTAAAAAGCTCCTCCTCGTCGCAACGCCAGACACGTCGTCGGTAGGGCGGTTCAGGCACTTCGCCCGAAGCCTCCTCACCATCTGCGAAGCCCAAATCAAGAATCTGCACGGTCACACGGATGGAGGGCGGCTCATTTTCAGAGTGTGGCTCTCGCCTTGCCGCCGCACACATACGTCTTACAAACACCGAGCAGTCACATGGGTGGAGCGCGCCCCGTGGGCAAAATGCGGCTCTCGCATGAGCGCCGCGCACACTCGTCTTGACCACCAGTCACCGAGATGTAAAGCGAGTCCTTTCCAACCTCGGATTCTCGCTTTGGATGTCCGCAGAGCGGACACACCGAAGCGCAAGCTTGCGCAACAGTTACAAAGACGGAGGGGAGGACCTGTCAAACGTGAAGCTCGCGATGTCTACCTCCTCAAATGCTACGACTCGTGATATTGTGCAAGAAACTACACGGGGCATGTTGCCCCCATCGTATTTAAGGACAACATTCCAAACGTAACTTCGATTGCACCGAAGAGTAACGAAACAGTGCCTGCCCGACAATGCTTCCCAGGTCCCGACACGTGAACAACCCTTATGTATTGGTACGTCCTTGGTGCTCGAAATTCTTTCTGGCGGTCAAGGCTGAAGTAGGCTGGAACATCATAATACAATAATGGAGGACGGCGGTGTTCCAAGAGTGGTTCTCCCTCCAGACGTCCTGCACAATGACGGCGCGACGCGTAACAGTGTGCAGCACTGGCGCACTAGTGGAGGGCAGCCCCGTTTCAGAACGGGGCATGGCTCTCGCTGCACACCTCCTTTTATGATAAGCAACAAACATACCCCTTCCCCTTTGGGAGGGGACCTAAGTTAGGCGGGCCAGAAATATGTGGAATAGGGGGTCTGTTCTGCGGACGTATCAGACCAAGCCGCCCAGATCTATGACCCCTGATGCGAAGACGGGGACTTAGTGTTATCCTGGTTCGGGGCCCTGTCGTACTCGATGATTTGACATCCTGACCCTGCTCTGTTCCTCGGGGCACTCCATTTCCAAAACGGGGCACAGGCAAGGCGCTCGTCTGCAAATAGGGCGCTTCCCGCAACGATCACGGGGCCCCAGGGCCCTCCGAAACACGGCCCGGGATGAAAAGCAGAACCCTGGGAAAACGTCCAGACTGGGGAAACCAAAAGGCACGGATACCGCAACTCCCTGGACCTTTCCTGGGGTGCGTTGTGACCAGAATTTCGAAGCGAATCCGTCGGTGGCGACGAAGGGCCCCCGAGGAGGCCCCAAAAAGTAAAAACGAGGCGAGGGTAGCGGGATGGGTACCCTTTCCTGCTCCGATAGACGTCTGGGGGTCCCCGCCGCGAAAAATCACGACGACCCCGGAGCACGGGGCACGGCGTCCCCTGAGCGGCAGGGCGGCGCCCCAGAGGCACAGCCTCGTGCCCGAGCCCACGCCCCGCAGGCGGCGGGGTGCCGCCTCCGCCCGACCACGCCCTGCCGACGGTGCGACCGACGGCGGTGCGCTTACTCTCGCGGCAACAGATCCTCGGAATGCTGGAAGACGAATTGGATCGAGCCGGCCAGTATCGGCGGTGGACAAACCTCCCTTTAATAAGCCATCCTTCAGTGAAAACGGCCTGGGACCGAAACCGACGGACCTGGACCCGCGAAAATGACGACCGTGACGCCCTCTCGCGAACCGAAAACGGCCAATTCGCAAATCGACGTGTCAGGGCAGGAGGTTGCTCAACCTCCGACAATATGGACATCGGGTCGGATCGATCGGATTGGAGTGGGCCCTCCCTGGAATGTGACCACCCCCACCCGGTGTCGGGGCCCTTAGCAGCAGCAGGGTGGTGCCCTTATCCAGGCAAGACCGACGCGTGATCTGCGGCGATGGACGCCCTACCTTTTCCAGTGGCCAGGTGCTCGGCATATGGCGTCGCCTGCGTACAACGGATCATGAATACCCCCACCCCCCCCACGATCCGGCAGAGGCAGAGCTTGTGTCGTAGCTCGCGCGCTGGCGCTTGCGCGAAGGCTCGGCCCCTGCCCACGCGCCAGACTGGCTCCACGAGTCCTTCCACGGGTCCTTGTCCTTCCACGCGTCCTGCTTCTGGGAGCCCCAGGAGCCCTGGCTGCCGCCCCACGAGCCCTTCGTGGCGTCGGCGCGGGACGCCGTGCTGCCCCACGCGCCCTTCGCGCCCCACGAGCCCTTCGCGGCGTCGGCGCCCTTCCCGCCCCACGAGCCCTTCGCGGCGTCGGCGCGGGACGCCGTGCTGCCCCACGCGCCCTCGGCGCCCTTCGCGCCCCAGGAGCCCTTCGCGGCGTCGGCGCCCTTCCCGCCCCACGAGCCCTTCGCGGCGTCGGCGCCCCAGGAGCCCTTCGCCGACTGCTGGCTGCCCTTCGCGCCCTTCGCGGCGTGCTGTGCGGCGCCCGCTGCGGGCTGCGGCGCGACCGGGCGCGCGGCCTCGGCGCTCATGAACTCCAGGTCGTTCGCGGTGATTGTCCCGCCGCCCTTCCCGATGCACAGCAGGTGGATCAGCTCTGCGGCGACCAGGGCGCTCTGCACCGCGCCCGCGAACGTGCAGCGGCCCCAGCCCTCCACCTCGTCCTGGGCGACCTTCACCTCCAGCCCGGAGAGCTCCCGCACCTGCCGCAGGCCAGACCCGGCCTTCCCGACGACGGCGCCGACCCTGCCCTTGGGAGCCACGTAGATCATCTGGATGTAGTCGGGCAGCTCCTCGCTGGTCTGCCCGAGCTGCTGCCACAGCATCTGCTGCGCCGTGAGCACGGCGCCGATCGGGCCCTTCATGACCACCTCGCTGCTCGAGCCGTCCGGCGCCGGGGCCAGGGAGATCGAGCTGCAGCCCGACTGGCTCGCGAAGCTGGGCAAGTTGGCGCCCTGCCACCCCGCCATGAGCTCGACCTGGTCGTCGGAGGCCACGAAGTGCAGCTCGGCCTCCTGCCGAGAGCCAGAAATCCTGACGTGCGACATCCCGACGCTTCCACACGGGCCCCCCCTGGACACCCGGACCCTCTCCCTGGGACCGGCTCTCCATCCTGACCCGTGTCCTGACGTCCCCGGGGCCCGGCGAGGGCGCCCAGGAGGCCGCAGACATGAAACAGAGCTGTCCGTCGCGATTTGTTCCCTCACGACGCCAGCATGTCTGGAAGGCACCGTGCGCAGCAGCTTCGGGTGTCGGCGGGCACGGCTGGACCCCCTCCCTGCGCGGCGCACCTCTCGGGTACGCCGCCCCTTCGGGCGCGGGGGAGGGGGGAGTCGTGATGCCCGCGGGAAGGGAGCTGGCCCGCAGACGTCGGGGGTCCCACACTTAAAGGCTGGCAGTCGGGATGCGCGATGCCCGCCGTCGCCCGGACGCCCATGCCCCGTGCACGTGTCGGTTTCCTCCGTGTTTTTTGGCCTGATGGTCGAGGCTGCTCCTCGATGGTCCTCGACGATAACAATGCACACGTCCAAGCGATGCCAAGGGTGAGGACACAAGCCCCTTGGACGCCCATGTCGAAGCTTTTCGAGCGGGGCTGGCCGTCGAAAGTGGTCAAGGGTGGACCGAAGAGGCAAGGATGCAAGGGCACGTACTGCACCCTTAGGGAGGTGACCCGTCCCTCCCATCGGCTTCGACTGTATGCCAGACGTTCTTGGCACGTGGGTGGGTGGGGGGGGTGAGCTCTTCTAAACCCGTCGCGACCTCCCGACGCCACATCCCTCCACAGCAGGCACACGCGATCAGGAATGTCGCTGTAAACAATCGACTGGCACCGTCCACCCTGAGCTTCGCCAGGTGCCTCAAGGCTCTGCGGCCCCATGGGGAGAGCAGAAGTTACCATAGGGGCGCTCTGTGGCAGACCCATCTATCATTGGGTACGCAGCACGTCCTCCCTCGCCCAACTGTGCGCATCCCCGCCCACATGGGGTGGGGCAGGTTGGCCGCAGGGGCCGAGGGCCAAAGGCTCCCTGTGGGGGGCGGGGGGGCCTCTGCTCGTCCAGAGAGCCGCGACCAGAATCTCGAGGCGGATCTAACCAACATTGCGAGTATAAGCCCCCAGCCCAGAGGCTCCCAGACAGAAGCGCCCAAGAGCTGACGGTCCTGGTCCGATCTCCCGGCGACTCCGGTAACTCTGGCGCCGCCCGCGCCGCTGCCGCCGGAGGCCGCTGGAGGCACATAGCCAGCCGGCGGCACGAAGCCCGTCGGGGACACGAAGGCCTTCGGCGCGCTGCCGTCGCCGAGGCCGCCGCCGAACGCCTCGGGCGGCACGAAGGCCTTCCGCGCCCCGCCAGCAGCGCTCGCGGGCGCGGCCGCGGGGGGGACGAAGGCGCCCGGAGCCACGAAGGCGGGCGCCGCGGCGCCTGAGGGCAGGAGCGGTCGACTTCGTCGCGTTCCTCGGGCCTCATAGGGCACCCTCGTGGCCACGGCTGGATTCCCTGCGAGCGCTCCGCCTCTCGCGCCGGGCTCGCACCCCAGGGTGCCAGAAGGAGCGATCCAGCTTGGGAGAAGCAATCCCCGATGGTGGGGCCGGTCGGGGTCCCGAAAAAGGCGTGAAGACGGACGCCTGACTACGGGGAGGTGACTGGAGGAGGAGGGGCCAGGGGCACAGTGAGAGGAAAAGAAGGGAGAGGAGGACGAGGAGAAAGGAGGGAGAGAGGGGGAAGGAGGGGGAGGGGGGAGGACAAGCTAGGTGCGCTCGCGTCATATCTGACGTCCTACCCCTCCCTCCCATCCCTTACCATGGCGCTGATTTTCTCTATCCGCGGACGCGTGTCGTAGCGGACCTGTGGCTCCGCGCGCGCGTGCGTAGTGGGTGGTGGTGCGCGTGCGTGCGTGCGTGCGTGTGTGCGTGGTTGTGGTGGTGGTGGTGGTGGTGGTGGTGGTGGTGGTGGTGGTGGTGGTGGTGGTGGTGGTGGTGTGGTGGTGGTGGTGGTGCTGGTGGTGCTGGTGCTGGTGCTGGTGCTGGTGGTGGCTGGTGCTGGTGCGTGGTGGTGGTGGTGGTGGTGGTGGTGGTGGTGGTGGTGGTGGTGGTGGTGGTGGTGGTGCGGCGCGGTGGTGGCGGGCGGATGGGCGCGCGAGAAAGAGGCCCGCGCTGGGGCGAGAACGCCATCCTGAACGACGGAGGCCAAACACCGATCCGAAAATGAGGCCCACGCTGCAGCGGGAGCACGATTCGGAACGATTCGGGAGCAGAAATGAGGCCGGCGCCTCAGCGAGAGCAGCATTTTGGAAAAAAAACGCAAGCGAAAACCCGTTTCCCGGGAATCCTGTGTAAAAAACAGCACGCGGGGGGGGGGTCGGATATCTTCGGGACGCCATCAGGGGAAGTGGGAGAGTATTTTCATATTGTGTAATTGTCGAGGAGGGAGGAGGGGCGGCACACTCCGTTCTCTCTCTCTCTCTCTCTCTCCCCACTCCTTCCCTCCTCCTCGTCCTCCTCCCTCCACCCCCCCTCCCACACCGCCTCCTCTTCCCCTCTCTCCTCCTGTTGGTCGTGGCTTTTTCCTGGCAGTGCAGCTGGTGGATGTGGGACACACGGCGAGAGTCCGATGCACCGCAGCTGCCTGTGCTCCAAGAACCAAGGGGGGCAAGCTTACGAGCCATCCAGTAGCTTGCTCCCCAAGGCCACGGCCAAAGCTGGCAGTTGCGAAACCTTTTGGTTGCGGGGGGTGCTCCCGAACGCCTGGGTCGCCGTGACGGCCCCTCCCGTCCACGACGCTTGGACGGTGGAGGGCATGATCGACCTCGAACCAAGCGTCTTGAGACACGGTAACAACGATGACCCTGTCTGGCTGCTCGGAGATGCGACGGGTGGCAAAGACAAACCAAACCGAAGATTCGCCGGGTGACGCTCGTTATGCTACGCATGGCTGGCTATTCGCAGTTGACCTCTGTGCGTGGTCCGCTCACGGGGGCTCGACAGACGGTGTGCCGAGGCGGGCTGAAGGCGTTCTGGATAGCGCTGGTCGGCTCAACAGGTGATGTGCTATACGTTCCCGATTGCGAAAATGTGATGGTATGCTGGAGCCCATCTCTCCCCGAAGGGGGCGGGCGGACGCGGACCTCTGGGAGCCGGTGCGGGGAGCGGCGCTGGGCAGGCGATTCCGCGCAGCTTCCCACACCTCTGTGCGGACCAGGTCGAGGCGGGCAACGGGCACCCCTATGCTGGTCCACGGCAAAAGCGCGGTGGACGGCCTCGCCTCCGAGGCGGCCGGAGGGGCGAGGCTGGCGGCGGAAGAGAGGAGCCGTGCGCTCCAGTACGAGAGGAAGGCGAACTTGGTGCGCCTGAGACTGCTCAGGGCTGCGCTGGACAGCACGGCGGCGGCCCAGGCAGCTGAGCGAGGGGAAATCTTGAGACGTCCTTGAGCAAGAGTTTCACGGATTGAGGGCGGGTGGTTTTCAACACGTGGCTCTCGCCTTACTCGGCGCACATTCGTTCAAACAAACGGCAAAAGTTTCACGGATTGAGGGCGGTTCCTTTTCAACATGTGGCTCTCGCCTTAGCGCCGCGCACATTCGTGTACAACATTTTCAAGAGTTTCACAGATACCCATCATCAACGTATCAGAACAGGCGTTTGGGAAGGATTCAGGAATTTGCGGATGCAACACTTACGTTGGTTCTCTGTGTTGAAGTCCTAGGAATGGGGTTCTGGCACGATTCGCGATCGTCCAACTGCAACTGTCAGGTTGATTCGTGGCGTTGGAATCCCGAGAACAATGTGTTGGCACGCTTCAGGGTCTTCAAACGGGTGTCTTCCAACGAGGCAGTTCCATCAATGGAATGAACCATTGTAGGTGCCTGTGCAAAGGGAACTTGGAGGGAGGGTTTACTCCAGCATCGTTGATGACTCTTGGGTTTACACTGGTCCTCATCCTCCCCCTCCTCCTCCTCCTCCTCCTCCTCCTCCTTCTCCTCCTCCTCCCCCTCCTCCTCCTCCTCCTCCTCCTCCTCCCCCTCCTCCTCTTCCTCCTCCTCCTTCTCCTGCTCCTCCTCCCATCGTCCTCCTCCTCCTCCTCCTCCTCCGCCTCCTCCTCCTCCTCCTCCCGTCTTCCTCCTCATCCCTCGTGGGCGCCCCCGACTCTTCCCCTCCTGCCCAATGCCACAGCCCCGTCGGCCTGCCGCGGCAACCGACTTGGCAGCCGCCTTCTTGGGGGCGGCGGCAGGCCGCGGCCTCCCCAGCGGCTGCCCGCCGCCGCCGCTGGCCTCGCAGAGACCGCAGGCGGCGAGCAGCAACCGGAAGCACTTCGCCAGCACGTTGCCGTCGCCCGTGAGCATCACGCGCCGCTCCGCCGCCTGGGCAACACGAAGCCAGAATCAAGACAAACTCGGACCGATGCAGATCGCAAATCTCTCAGAATCGGCGGGTTTGGAGGACGTATCGGGCGCCGCGGCCGTTGAAGAGCGTTCCTGAACGCTCTGGGAGCGTTCTGAGATGCTTCGGACCGGTTTATCTCGATTCGAGGCCTGCCTGACTGGGGTCGGAGGCTGAGGACGAGGCACTCTGGACAGGGCAAGCAAATCGCCCTCCCCCCTTGGGTCCGCCGCGGAGGGGGGGGGGACACATGTTGTCGGAACGGGCAGGGGGGTTGGAGGAGGAGGAGGAGGAGGAGGAGGAGGAGGAGGAGGACGATGAGGAGGGGGAGCTTGAGGAGGAGGGAAGGGCAGGCATGGGCAATTAACCGTCCCTGGATAAATCAAAAACCCACCCCATCCAGAAGACTGACGATCGGGAATCCGGTGTCTGGCAGCCAGGTGGAACACTAATGGAGGTCTGGCCATGGGTATCACCGCCGCCCTCAGGAGGGAAGGAGGGGAAAAAAAAGCCTCCTGGGCACAATCCTTGAGGAACGCCCCCACCATACGTCTACCCCTGCCTCGTTACCGCCTTCTGGGGGCTCCCTGGAGGCCCTCGTCGCAACCGCTGGACTCGCCGCGAAATTCTGGCCAGGACCCACCCAAGGAGAGGTCCGGGGGGCAAGGGTATGGCGGGTTCCCATATATCCCCCCGTGGAGCTACAAAGTTGTTGCTCTCGGTTTTCTGGCGGTATGCGGCGGCCTTGCGGCCACTGCCGCGCGAGGGCTGGATGGTTGTGTTTTTCACTGGCTCCAAAGTGTAGGAGGATCGAGGATGCAGATTTGGGAGGTTTTCAGCCGGAGGCAGGATGAGCACAGATCTGAATGAGGACACATTGGGAACCTCTGAGAGCCAGCGGGGCTGGAGGATGTATCGCGCGACGCGACCGTCCCAGAGCGTTCCGGGACGCTCTGAGAGTGTTCTGGAGCGCTCTGCAGCGATTCATCCTCGCCCTAGGCCTGCAGGCCTGCCTGCCTAGGGGAGGATCGAGGATCGAATTTCTGTCACGTCCTCCACCCATTTTGGGCCTCTGGCGAGGCCTCCAGGTGGCCTCCGAGGAGGCCCCTGGATGTCCTCTGGACAGACCGATGCTGCGCTGGAGACTTTCGGAGACGCCCGGGCGTCGAACAAAAACGAAACATCATCGCGACGCGCGTTCCGCGCCCCGATTTTGGGCTCCGCGCCTTCACAGATCGATGCGGCCCGCGAGGCGCCGGAGAATTGCCCCGAAACGGTCGGCAAGTTTTGCTCGAGGTTGTCTTACTTGTTTGGGGACGTCAAGCGCTGCATGGTCTCTGGGTCAGGCCTTGGTCCCCGTAACTTGGGCGCTTGCTCTTTAGACAACATGATATGCTATGCTGCGTGGTGCCCGGTTGTGTGATGTGTTACGCTGCGACATGCTATGCACTGGTATGTGCCTCTCTACCACGCAAGGAATCGCCTCGCCACGCAACGCTCTGATACAATTATCCGCGCTATGCTATGCCATGCTGCCCGATGGAAAGGGATGCTTGAACATGCTTTGCTATGTGGATGGGAAGCCGCACGGGATGATATGTAATACATATTGAATCGAATTGCAGCCCATTTCGTTACATCGCATTGCTTCTGCTCACCTTACAAGAAAACCCGAGGGAGGGGTACGCCGGGCTCCATTGTAGCCGAACCATGTCAGAGAAGATCACGGGGCCACCTCCACACCCTTCCAGGGAACTTTGGATGGCCTTGGGAGAAATCTTCTAAAAAAGAATGGGGGAGGAACCTCGGAGAGCCTCGGGGAACCCCTGTGCACATAAACAGGCTGCTCTGAGCATTGGTGATGCCGCCTCCGTCGTCCAGCCTCCCTCCACTGCAGCAGCCACGCCCGTCGTGTCATAGATCATCTGCTCGCCGTGATTCATGTCGAAGGCTGTGGCCATGTCCTGGGAGATGACCACCGCCATCGTGTGCTCCTCGCCCTTGCCAAGCCTGCCGGCGATCGTTGCGAATCCCCGTGCGAGGTGCTCCCCGGAGGCGCCCCTGAGATCTGCTCGTCTGAACTGCTCCACGTCGGCCGCCTGCTGCATCATGATGTCGCACCCCTGCGCCCTCAGCATCTGGAAGACCGCGCCGCCCTTGCCGACGACCTTGCCGGCCTGCGCGTCCGGCACGAGCAGCGCCACCCTCACCGCCTCCGCGGGGTCCACGGCCGCCATGCCTGCTGGCCCTGCTGTCTGGCACCGCCGCGCGCGGGGCCGCCGAGCTGCTCTCCCCGCCCCGCGCGCGCCTCCACGGTCGAAGAACAGCCCCCCTCCGCCGCCCCTGAGCAACGAGGTGCCTCGAGCCCAGAAGCGGTTCCGTGTCCACAGTGGCTCACCCTGCGTGCCCGATGCCTGCGGCGCCCTGGGGCGGAGAAGGGGCGCTTCTCCCCCTCCACGCGCTCGTGTAGAGACGGCCCCCTTCCAAGACCTCCGACGTCTTGGCTTTTGCACGGCGTGGCCCTGTGGGCTGGGACCTGCTTCTCATCACGAACAGTTTTCGCGGACGGTGCTGGGTCCGGGCAAGGCACTCTCCATACCAGAAATGCGCAAAAACCCTGCCGTCCCTATTTTCCACAACGAGTGGTCCAGGTTGGCCCCTTCCAGACAAAATCCTGGCCAATGTGGTGAGCTGCGTCTGGCCGTGCCGACGGGCGCCACGCAACGGCTATCTAAGGACCTGCTGAAGAAGCACAGGGGCCAGAACGCGCAGGGAGGCTCTCTCAGTGAACGGCGCTCCAAGCTG